TTTTTTTCTCCTTTATCGATTCTTTCATTTTTTAAAATTTGTTTTTCTTTTTTACCTGTTTTTCTTTTTTTCTTTTGCTGTAATACTCGAAAATGATTCATCCGATGATTTACAGTTTCAGAAACTGAAAGTTCATCACCGATACCAGAATCAACAACCAGCGATGACAAACAGTCAACAGCAACAACGACAACAACAGCTTACCAAGATAAGCAAAAACAACATTTGGAAAAGTTGACACCAATTGAACTGTTATGCCTACTGTTTGAGGATCAGGAAAAAAGGGTGTTGGAATTAGCATTAGAAGGTTTCAACGGTCAGCTGTTACAAGCCATCGAACATTTTGTATGCGTCCGGCAGTTATCAAGAAGCCGAAAGACGGAATCACGTTCTAATTTTTCGATGTCAAGTCTTCTGTCACAAAGTACAACTACTGCACCGTTTATACCAAATTCACTGTCGTCGACAACCAACAGTTTTATGTCACCGAAATCTTCGGCGTTGGATTTACGTCAAAATAGTATTTCAGAAACTGATACCCAACAGTCACTGTCGCCAGCAAATTCGTCTACCGACTAGCATCACAATCAGATCAACGTGCACATTTTGACTTTTATCTTGTACTTGTTTTTTTTCTTTTCATATAATTGTATAACTTTTATGGATGATAAAATATTTTTCATAAGCCTTATTTTTTATAATACTTCTGTAATTTGTACAGTATTTTTGCCTTTTTGTTTCCTTCATGGCTGTCATTTCACAGCAATTTCCGTGAAATGTTTTATGTGTCTTTGTTATCATCATTTAGTCAGTTATATTAAGTTATTATAAAATTCTGTGATTTTGATGATCAAGAAAAGAAAAATGAAGTGAAAAAAAGTAAGCAAAAAAAATTCCAAAGGGAAAAACTTTGTTTGGTAACAGATTTGTTTCAAACTATTTCAAGGCAACTTCATAATATAAATAACTGTTTCTTTTCAAAACTGTATGATGCAAAAAAGGAGCTGATTAAAATTTAGGAAAGTTAATGAAGGACGTAACTTTTTTTGATTCAACAAAAAGGTGCTTTTCTTTCTTAGACTATCAGAGCTGATTTCCGAATAAGAACTGGTAGTAAATTTTTACTTTCAAAGAAAAGACAATAAGTCTGAGCTAAATGTTTAGTTTTATCTGTGGTTTTTTTATCAGGGTTATCTTTTTGTTGTTATCGTTGCTACTGCTGTCCTCAAAATTTCAATTGTTTTCGATGAAAATTTCGGTCACAGTCCTTTTCCCTTTTAAGTTCCATATCTTCTGCTTTTGAAGATACATGCCGAAACCGGAGGCACGGATGGTAGCGGGGTGGGAGAAAACGGAAAAAAAGCTAGAAGACAACAATTTAGTCTGAATTCTGTCCATCAAGAAAATACTTCAACACTTTTTGACGTCAAAACGTTCAGTTGTTGCAAATTTTAATAACCCAGCAGCTTGTTACTTAATTTTTCCAAATTTAACATATCAACACTGAAGGGCGTATCCAATGGCAATCACAAAATAATGCTTTGCACACAAACACTAAAACAGATATCAACAAACACACACAGACAAACAATTCAAGTGCACATATTATTACATCTAAA